ATAACTTTTTCTACTCTTTATACTGCCTCTTGATCCCCCAAGATCCAGATCCACTATCTCAATATTCTTGTTGGAATTTCTATCCATATCCTACAGGCATGGCGATTTTTTTATTTGTCAGTGATAGATCTAACAGACCGATCAACATTCATGAATGAGTTTGGTAATGCATTTTTTGATGTAATCTGTTATTCAAATAATGCAGGCATTGGATTCAACTTACATGCGATTGTCTAGATTGTGGGTGCTGTGGTGATCTCCTGTGGATGGACTGCCACTGTGGGATAACCTGTGACTCTTCAGCCATGCGGATCCTCCGGGCTCGAGCTCGCTCTTGAGCTATCACTAGAGCCTGCATGCAACGAAGAGTAGCAGCAGCTTGCTTCCTGACAAGGTGTCCTCTTACCAAAGCTTGCAGCTTTACCAGGCCTCTCAATGCACACAGAGCTTTTCTTGCCTGCGATAAGATTCATTCTGATACATGAAGATTTTCTTTCTCTAGCATCATAAGTTTTTCCTTATTTTTATATAGATTCCCAAATATTTGATCCCAGCTTTTAGAACTTTTAATTACATGCATTTTTCAGTCTGCTTATGGCATATGCTTTGAAATTCCTTTTCTTGCTTTACATAGTGCTGCTGATTCATATTCTTTTGTTGAAAAAAATTTGGTTTTTCAGAAGATATTTGTTTCTTACAAGAAAATGTTGTTGGTTTTTGCTTATGATGTATTTTATGTTGATATCAATAGATTCATTAGATTTGTTTTACTTGATCTCGTGATAAATCAGATTGCAGAAGCTATGATATGTATCAGTTTTTGTATTTCTCAGGCTAGATTTTCATGTTGTTGATATTACCTCATTGCAGAAGCTATGACAGGTATCAGTTGTTGCAGAAGCTATGACATGTATCTCTTTTTATTTCTCAGGCTAGATTTTCATGTTGTTGGTTTTCAGTCATGAGCAATTAACATTTCACAGTTCAATGTTTTTTCTTCTTTGAACAGACAAGCTAAATTCAATTAGAGAGATTAGAGGAGTACCAGGTAGGCACGAAAAGCAGACTGAATTTTGGTAGCTGCATCTTCCTTGACAGCACTGGCTTTTTGTTTAGTGGCAGCGGTTGTGAGGCGTACTACAGCTGCTGCTGCCTGTGCCACAGCAACAGCAGCATCAGCAGCTGCAGCTGTGGCCACTGCAACAGCCATTGCATGCCTTTTATTGTCAATCGCAACCTCCGACAGCCTCTGAAGTGGTGGCACACTTGTGCTCAGTTCTTGTGAACTTAAACTCTTCCCTGCACCTGCCCATCTCGGATATCTCCATCTCCTTTTCTCCTTGGGAGCAGGCACTGAGATTGGTGATGACTGACTATTGATTGGCAATGGAGAGGAAAATGATTCAGCTTTCTCTTTCTTTCCATCCTTCTTCCCCGTCAAGAAGCTCCTGAGCCATTTGCCTGTCTTCCACATTTTCCTCTCCTACCACCTCTTAGAGGAGCGATCAAGAGTCAGTGGCAGAGGAAAGCTAGATGACACAAGGTATGCGTATGGATTGTATGTTTTTATATCCATTCCTAATCTTTGCTAGCGAAGTAAATAATCCTTCTTCTTTCCTACTTTCTAGTAGCTACTTGTCATAACCGTTCCCTCTGAACCCATTTTTCTTTGCCTCTCTCTCTCTCTCTCTCTTACTCACCTGTCTTGGGCACTCATCTGTGAGCTTGTTTGTTTATATATTAGGATCTCTACAAGATTGATTTTATGGATTCTTTATATAAGACTACTGCATTTCCTGGATGCCTTCTGCTGGTGAAGTAAATGGTGTGATCCAGCAATGTTCATTAGGTAACCAGACAGTGTGAGGATTAAGGAATGGGCCAGAGGGCCATGTGAAGGAAAACACTATAAACATGCTGGGGTTGTCAGCATTTCACAGAGTTCATCCCATCATTTACAGTAACTGAGGCCTTGGCAACTTTTCACCTGGTAGCTGTTGCTGCTGATCCTGATGCATTGTTGGTGCTTGTTCATGGAAGAACATGGATTTGTCACCTTTACATGGATTCTATGATCTTAACTTGATGATGGTTGGAGTAGTTGCTATGACACACCAGTTGATTTGATTGGGATTACCATGTCCATGTGTGGTCAAATTTCAGTATTGCGGACCAGAGACTTGTGCCGAGTAAGGGTCATCAATCATTCAAACAGCAGTCTGGTAACTTTTCCTGAAACCTTACCTTCTACCAATTCAATAATTTAATCTGTCATTTTCTGTTCTAATTTATTGGTTTGTGCTTTGAATGAAAAGAAATCTGAATACCCACAATTTGAGGGACAATTGCATGTTCACCATATTTGTGTAAGAGTGGAGTAGATCCTCATGATACTGCATGATTGATTAATGATGGGGCCCTGCCCTAAGAAAACTCCAGATTAGTCTGAGAACTTAGTTCCCTACCAAAGTGAGCTGCATCGAGCAGCACAAAACAAGGGCTACTAATTGTGGATTAGTTGGCAGACACATCCTACTGCACATCCTTCTTCATTGAATGTATGTCGGTAAGAGGCTTGGCATCACTCAGTTTCTGCTGATGTGTAGTTGTCTTTTCTCTAAAATTTCGATGAGTTCAGCTTGTAATAGTACAGATCACTGCAGGCATGGTACGACTGAAATGTGACAATAATTGTGTAAGCTGATAATATATCTAGTGGCCTGTTCTTTAACATTGATGAGAAGCTCTGACATGCAACATGCAAGTGGCAACCATCGTTGTGACTCCTGCTAGCATGGAATAAATTCATGACTTCAAAATATCAATTGCATCATGGATGTGAAATCAAGAAAAGTAGGAATGCATGCATTGTCCAAAGAAAAAGAAAAGAAAGGATGTGAATAGCTGTTGAGACCAATGATTTTTCACATGATACTTGGAAAGGGGCTACCACTTTTTCCCAAGTTCACTTTATCTTTGCCTGTGAGCAGCCTTTGATCACATTTTCCCTAAGTAGGTGCTAAGCCAGCTTTGGCACGGAGCTAAATGTACCAGTTTTGATTACTTTTTAGTGAGTGAGAAACCACATGCTGAAGTTCAACCATGTGCGTCACACTAGGGCTGGCAGAAGCATCACTTTGTTTGTCTGCATTGGGGACAAGTGATAGATTTCTCTAGGTCTTGTTATTTGTACACAGAGAGAAAGAGAGAGCTGATAAATTTTAGGTCTTTTTG